TAATATGACATGAACTAAGTAGATAGTTCAATCAATGATATGTCTTAGTAGTTTTTATCTCAGGAATTTTTTGCAATTATGAACATAATAAAATAGGCAGCATATATTTTATATTACAAATAGTTAATCATACCTTGAATCAATTAGCAATATTAATGCTATTATTGGCGAAATCCCTAGACATAGTTATAAGCATTATACTATAATAATCCTCTGAATGATGAGATCCTTATGCATAAAATGGATATGGTGTATTTTTTAATTCAGCTAGTACTTTCAAATGCTTCACGCATTCATCTTCAGGTTGTATTTTCTCTCTCTCTCTCTCTCTCTCTCTCTCTCTCTCTCTATATATATATATATATATATATATATATATATATATATGGATCCTACTTTTATACTGTGAACAGAAAATATTTTGATTATTTTCCTGTCATATTTTTGTATTTTTGAAGGTGATAATTTCCAGATAGAAGTTTTGCTTTCCTAACAAGCAGAATAAAGAAAGGAATGTTTTTTGTTCTTCTTTTCTTCATGTGCAGGAGAGGGAGGGCCGAAACCAGACAATTAATTCGTCCGCATTTTAGGTAACTTTTTTTTTGTGTCCAAATTACTAGCCCGAAACTCAATATGGGGGAAGGTTTTCACTTGGTCGGCTATCTCCACAGAACTATTCACAGCTGATGTAGAATCCGATTCCTGTTTTTTCCAAGAGAACTCGTACAAATTGGTTTGGTTGATTGATTTATTGATTCGTTTCTTGTAGTTTATTAACCCTTTGCCGGTTATTTAAAACCAGAAAGTATTTTTTGATGGTACTAATTTTTTGGAGATAATAATGCTTTAACGATACAAGTCATACTAATTAAACCACAGCTGGGTGAGAAGATATGGATTCATACCTTTCTCAAGAGTATTTGCGCGTAAGAGAATATAACGAACCTGATGGGAATTTGATCTCGACTCAAAGGATAATAATTCCGAGCCATCCAAGTTTATAATATCTAGTATTGTGCACATCCAAATTTACATTTGATTCTTGTATTACCAATAAATTTGCATCTTGTATTACCAATAAATTGGTTTGGAATATGACGTAATCGTTAGTGATATAGACCTACATATCATTTGCCGTCAGATAAAATTTAATTAGCCTTCATATTTATTTGATATGTAGTGAGCTTGTTTCGTTGAACTTTCCATCCTGGATATATACGATAAAATACATCCTGCCGCAAAGCTTCTGACTGAGAGATTGGAAGAGCGTGGAACAACCAATTAACTGCTGTTCTTTCCAGGTGCGTAGTTAGGGACTCAGCTATGGGCAAATAATGAGCCCCCAAAGAAGGGTCAACATTACATTTTTAAAATAGAACTACTTACATTTCATTTTATTCACAAACTATATATATATATATATATATATATGTTTTTAAGCATTTCACCCCAAGCAAGGCGGGAGTGCTACTAGCTTGTAAGTGATAACAGAGAGTGGGAGCAAGAGTAAAGAGGCGTGAGAGAGGAAAGTTTGAGGAGAAAGACAGGAAAATAGATCAAGGCATCTGGAGATGTCGATTGACATTGCATTTGAATATTTGGAGATTACAGCTATCAGAGAAGCAAGCAAGAGGAAGGGCGGTTCACAGAGGGGAAGTGCGAAGGATGAAGCTATTGGAGTAGAAGAGACGGCTACATTTAATCGTTTCGACAGTGAAAGAGTCGGACTGAGATGCTGTTGTAGAGTAGTTTTCACAGCGTTGGCTTGTATTTCACTAAGTCGTCCTAAATTAGGTTCGACGTACAAAACGTTAGGAACTTGCAATAATTAGTTAATGACGCAGCAATCTAGTTGTGATGGTTGATACTTCAATGTCCGACATCGACTGACTCACTCAACACCACTGAGCCCAACTGGCCACTGCTACTACTACTTATTATCTGTGGTAGAGTCTATTACAATAGAATAGGTATTATGGTATAACAGATGCCAACCTAGTATCACGCTTAAATTCATGCAGTTTGGGAACCAGCGAAAGTAGCTCGTCGGAGCAGTGACCTTGAAAGACACAGGAAGGCGACGCCACGTCTGTGAGAGAGCGACTGTAAACGAGATGCCAGATCAGGGACAATGACATTGCATATCCGTCTCTGGATTTTGTCAAGGATCTTAAGACGAACAGCGGGGTCTCCAGACCATATATCTCACAAGCATGGATTTACTCTGAAAGTATAAAATTATGTACAAAATCTGTAGTTGAAGGCATAAAATTGCATACAAAATATTTAGATTTCGGCACTAGATAACGGATATGTTATACAGGAATAAAGAGTCGCTGCCGACACTTGAGTTTGAACACAGATCGTCAGTGAGCAAAAACGGGTGACCCCATTATTGAATTAAGTAGACCACGTGACCATTGAGAAAACGCATATAGAGGAAGCCACGTGACGTGTTGGCGATTGCTATTTCTCCTCTATCCTCTATTACTATTCGGACCGCTATTTCTCCTCTATCCTCTATTACTATAGGGACCGCTATTCCATACTCTATTCACTATACTATTTCTCTATTCGGATCACTATACGGATTACTATTCGAGCGAGTATTATCGAGCAAGTACTATAAGTGCGGGTGATATTCGAAGCCGTATTGTTTAACGGCATTACTATAGTTCTATCTGCAATTACAAAGTCTATACTACAACGAATATTACGAAAGTGACAACGAGTATTCGTTGGCATTACTAAAATATAGAGGTTCATATGCCACTAAACGTAACCCATGACTCGTTAAATTTTATTATTATTTAGCGAGTTCAATTCATATTGTATGCCGTATATTTAGGACCATTTGCCAGAAGTAAGCCAATCTTCGTGTTTTCAATTTTATTTATATTATAGTGGACGTCTCGACATTCGACAATGTTTAGACAGCAACTCGTTTGAATATTATTACTGAATTTTAATGTCGGTCTACATTGGGTGCCTAGTATTTGTGAGGATTTGCCAAACTAAGGCAACATTAGTTAACGTGAACTCTAAGCTAATAGCAGTCAGTGAGTTAAGTGCTACACGTGATACATGTTTGGGCGATCATGTATCTTTCGATACATGACTGATGAGGTAGATTTTTTCCCCGTAGTAGTTTGCCATTTCTTTCTGCAGTAGGATGGTTGCCAATCAAAGGTAATGAACCCAGTCTGTCCTGCTATTCAACCTATATATAGCGGAGAGAAGAGGTAGATTCATATATTTCTCAGGCGTAATTTTGCTTAAATGAGTAACAAACTCGACTGGAATTCGAACTCGGCTCACCGAGCCTATATCCATTACACCAAAACATGCATCCTAAGCTCGCATAAGAATGGAGTGAGGCAGCATTTTACCGGGTGAATATGCTTAAACTAATATAGGAAATACATATTCTGTCTCAATATTAATGCTCAAATATCGAGGCCATTTTAATCTTTCCACCTTATCCACATAATTTCCCCTTCCTACCACTTTCTCTTCCATTCATATCACACCCCAATTCAGTATTACAATTTTGTTGGTAGTAAATCTTTACAATGAGTGGCGCTGCACCGGGTGAAATTTAATTAAAAAATATCAGAAATATCAAAAAAGGCAGACAAAACGTAAATTTAAAATATTTATTTCAGGAAAATTGAATTTGTAAAATAATTAAACTTTAAAAAGGGAAATACGGTGCCTGGAAAGAAAGAAAGTTTCCTTTTCCCCATTATAGGCATTAGTGTATCCGTAGTATACTAACACGTTAATACAACGGACGGAAGAAAATAGCTGGAAGAAAGAAATTACAAACATGTATTGTTCTTCCAGAGATTTTTATATTGTTATGTCATGCAAGAAATTGTATACAAATATATTTACCCATGCCACTAATTTGTCCCTCATAGAAACGTTATAACATATGTACACAACAAGCGGTGTGTAAAGGAAGAAAAGCAAGAAGGTTTTACTTGTAATAATTCCCGAAGAGAAAAGGAGTAAGCTTTACTATGCGGTTAGCTCTGTACACCCTAACGTTGTGGGGTTTGAGGTTTGATTATATTGCACCTAACACCCGTCACACACCGGCCGTCGGATGACTCTCCTTTGATTCTTTACAAAGGAATTTAATTTTAAGAGTTAGTCAGATGTTTATTATGCTCTGAAGTGTTAGGACCAGTAATCACATTTTTTTCATTTTTGCCACTTTCTCCTTAGCCCTCGCAATATCTGGAAAATACTGAAAGACTCACACTGCTTGGATTAATTGTCGACTCGTTTTTCTTTCATCTTTCTACTATTAATATCACAAACGCTTTCGTCATTCCCAGTAAGCAGTGTTTGATTAAAATAAAAAAAAATAATAAGGAATCTTCTCTTACATTTTCTCCAGGCCGGTGTCGCGAAATTTTTTGGGGTCCAGAAAGACTTCCAACACAGAGAATTTTAACTTATCTAGTTTTATTATTCACGTCTACGTGCACATTTTCTAACTATCCAGTGGGGTCACTGCCCCACAAAGGGGATCCGTTCCGGACACGATAATGAACCTGTCTACATTGCTTGACGTGTAAAAAGCAACTCTCTGAAAAATGTGAAAAATCTTTCTCTATCTCTCATTCCTACCTCAGCCAAGCCAATCAAAAGCCGACTTCCCTATTTTGACTTGCATCTGACCCCATGGTCAACCCCAGGAAATCGGAGCAGAGATACATTTCGTCTAAAAATAATAGTCTGCTAAACTATTATTTATTAATAACACCTGTGAGTTTTCACCTTTTTTGCGTTCCGCGTCGTAACTGGACTACAACACGGATGGTATTAACGAAAACACGGTTTCTTCCTATTTAACCCATAGATGGGGTCAAGGTGTAGGTTCACACCTTTTCCAAGTGTATTTGCGCGTAAGTGAATGTAACGAAATGGAATTGAACTCCGATCTCTAATCCGGATCTATCATTCATTACACCTTTCACACGTCCAAGCTTACAGCACCTGGCATGCCCAAGTGATTACCCAACTAGTTACTGAACAGACTAGATGTTGCTTAACTTCGGCGATCGTACGAGAACCGGTGTTTCCACATGATAATGGCCATAATCCAGTAGGTTCAAAATTTCAACTATCAGGGTCAGGGTAGTGCATTTCAAAAAAAGTAAAATGGGAATCAGAAATCCACAGTTGGAAAAAATAGAGGATGATGCCTTACAGAATCAAAGTAAAGTATTAAGATATAGGAAAGGATCGTTAGAAAAGAAATTAAACAATACTGGAAAATAAATTTACAGATAAAGAAGAGACATAAAACCAGTAGATTTGCGATTCTGCTGATGGATACCTGCTGAGAATATCATGCACATAACACATGAACAACAATAAGTTTTAAGTATAAAAACCAAAATCCATCTTGCGACTTTATAAGTCAATAATTCGTCCATGCTTTGAATAATTTTGTCACATCGGGTCTGGTGCTTCAGGCATGTATTTTGAGATGAAATCCAAATAAGAATCTGCAATATTATCGGCCCTGACCTGTTATCTCTAATTCAATCACTTTCCCGCTGCCGTAATGGATCTTCCTTTTGCCTTGTATATAAATATCTTCATGGCAATTGTTCTGATGAGTTTTCCTCTTTGATACCTCCACTTTATGGATTTAAGCGCAGTACTAGATTGTCACTTAAATCGCATCGTTTCACAATTGAAATTGGTTGAAATAACCATAAGTTCTATGCTAGCAGTTTCTACTGATTGTAGGTTGCAGGGAACCCGGAAGGGAGTTGCACAGGCGAGAAGAGCGATAAAATAAGCTATAAGAATAGAACTGACGGTTTCATCTAGTTAGTTCAACAGTAAAACGGTGAGACCTAGTTGCCAACCAAGTAGCACGTTTAAATTAATGTAGATGAGATGCTATAAGGAAGAGCTTATTAGAAAAAAAAGTTGTCTTGAAAAAGACAGAGGGCAGCCACATCACGACGGTGGGAAACTGACTGAATTTGAGATACTAGGGCAAGATCAATCAAACCATTCTTTAGATATTACATATACAGGTTCGGGGTTAGTGTACTTTATTAAAATTGTTTGCGAAGATGTATTCTCGCCATTTAAATCATTAACTTCTATATCTGTTTTTGTATGAATGATTGCTATATATATATATATATATATATATATATATATATATATATATATATATATATATATCGGAAGCAACACACCAAATGTGGCAGGGATATTAAATACACGTGCGAATAACAAATTTATAAATATGCAAGAGGCATTCTGACAAGAAGAATTCTGGCACGACGTAGTAAACCAACTTTCTCGGCAGTAGACCTAGCAATTAATTCAATATAATTACTCCACTCCATGTCTAAAAAGTCGGAGGCCAAGAAAGCGTAGCGTGTTTCTCGCCTGCTATTTAGCGTCAGCTATGATGACGCCATGTAGAAAAGGTTCTCTGTGGTGATTAAATGAAAGCGTGTTTGCTTTGGAGACAACAAACTTTAAACGCCATTCATTGCCCCAATTAACAACTGATGTGCAGTCCTTTTCGAGAGCCGTTGCCAGTTCTAATTTGTCGGATTCGCTACTAAGGCAGGAGCCTGAGCTAGCTCTAGCAGTTCAAGGACAAAAAAGTGTCTTGTAACTAACAATAACCCACAAAACAAACTGGTACCTTTCCATTATCGAACAAGAACCTGGTTTCCCACGGGTCAACATGAAAATTTCATACTATGCAGGTTGCTCTTTTCTCTGAGCGATTATAGGGGCCTTAAATTATTCCCATATCTCAAGGAAAACTTATATATACGATCCATTACTATAGATGTTGAAATAAAATGATGGACTCTTTATTTCACCCCAGAAAGTATCTGACAGCACCTGCTAGATTCTATCATTACAAGTTTCAGATTAGACCCAAATTGGAATATTTCTGTTATATCGGGGCTGGAGCTTCCAATTCCTCTCTTTCCAGACTCGGTAGAATTCAAATGGGGTCTTGTAGGTGATTCGTTATTTTCCACCTTGCAACCACATTTCCCAGAGGCGCAAAGTCAAATCCTTATTGCTATTTATCTAGAAAATATTTTCCCCATTCTGAGATTTCCAACTAAGAACCACCATGCCATTAAACATAACTCTACTCTTATTTCCAAGAATCGCTTCTCTATGGAACTTTATTCCGAGAGTATGTTTCACTGACTACTACAATATTAACATATTCAAGTCCAGGTTCAGCAGTTATCTATACCACATATTCTCATAATCTACAAATTCTACGTCCGTAAAATCAATAATAATTTAATAGCCTTCTCTCTTGTGTGGCCCCTGGGGCTAGTATTGGAGAAAAATAGCTTAAAACTCTTGGAAGGAAATGGACAACCGCACAAAATTAATTAGAATAGAAAAAGAAGTGGTGGAGGTCTATGGTTGTTCACGTTTTAAAGGGATGTGATACATAAAAGAAGAAATATTGTG